AAAATCCAACATACACTTCATTCAGAGAAGTCAAATATGAATTCAAACTTCTGTATCGAAGCAGTAGAGATGGTTTAGATGAAGTTATATTAAAACAAAAATGTGATAACATCAGCAAAACTCTTGCAGTTGGAAAAATACAAAATTCTGATCAAATAGTTGGTGGCTATAATCCACTTAATTGGAATCAGGATGAATATTATACAACAGAAAGTTTTATATTTAATATAGTTGATAGAAATGATATTAATACTGCACAATTTAGTTATGTTGTTAATGAGAATGGTTATCCAACCGATATTTGTTCTTTTTATTTATTTGATTTTGGTTGTCAAGATATTTGTTTTTGTTCAAATGGTAAAATTTATAGTGGTAGACCAAGAAAGTATAATAACATCAACATAGCATATGAAAGTGAGTATGATGAATTAGAGGTTTTCCAAGTAATTGATAAAAATTAAAGACAAAATTATTTTTATTGTTTTTACCATTTTTTTAAATATGTATTTTTAATAATTTTTATCAAAAGTTACTTATAATAATAACTAAAAAACATTTCAAAAATGTCAACTAATTTCATGGCTTTTAGCTTCCAAACTTATTGGTTAAAAAACTTAACATTTTGAAGATTCCATATTTAATCATTCTTTATATATTTATTAAATAAGTAATAGTTATTTAAGCTCTGAACGAATTGAATCAAGTCATATTTTAAAGCAATTTAGATTCGAAAAGTTGAATTTAATTTGATTCGAACCAAAGCAGATTTCTAATTTTTCGCTTTTTAAATAGTCAAACATTGTTTCAACGAACGAAACACAATGATAGATCGCATTTAAAATTCGTTATGCCAGAACTAACAAATTTCAATCAAGATTTGTTGTGGCGAAAATATCAAGAATTTTCATTGAATTAATTTATATTGAATCGAAATAGAATCGAATCAAATAATGATTCATGAGATTAATTTATCTATGTGTATTAAAATAGTATATATTGGTTCAAATCAGAATTGAATAAAATAGAAACGAAACAAAGCGTGATTCAAATAGTAGAAAAAAAATATATTGTCAAAGTATCTGTCGCAGAATATGAAGGATATGTTAAAGAGCAGACACAGAAAAGTAAAAGTAGACAATAGAAAGAAATCGAAGATAACTTACTTGAAGATACAACAGCTGTTCCAGTCAACGAGATAACACAGGAAGCGGAAACCAATAAATATAAGATTTTTATAATTACCCTAATAAATCAAGTAAAAAAGTAGCTCAAGGAATAAGCGAAGGATTCATTTATTTTGAAATTAGTTGTCTACATTGCAAAATTTAATTTGTAATCACCTGAAGTTACTAGTTCTACTAGATGAAGTAGAATATGGCAACTAAAATCACGAATTAAGTATATAATTTCTTCCAGTCTATTTGATAAAAAAAGTATTACTCAAGTTTGGGTTATAAATTAATTACATTAACCATAATGTATTTAAATAACCTGAAGTCAATTTGATCTGCTAATTATTTTTGATCTCCTCTAATTTTATTTTGTTTGACGGAATGTAATAATATTGTTACATAATCATTAAACTAAAGGATGTGATCTTAAAACACATGCACCAAAATTGATAACAGCACCATCGCCTTCAGGAGCACCATTCCAAGTAAGCGTTGTAATGCCAGCACGAGTATATTTAGAAGGGGGAAAATTCACCCAAGATCGGGAGAACAATTAAAGGCTAAGAAATGATTTTATTAAAAAAACTATTGTTAGAGTAGACTTACTACTTATTACAATATGTAGAAAAGCAATGGATTGTTTCAGTTCCAAATATACTGATATTGAATCCTTAAAGTTTATAATAAGAAAATAATAATTTTGTAGATTAACATCATCTCTGGAGTTGATGGCGAGTCTAAATTCCGACGAGAATATTGAGCCGAAGATTCTTCGTTTTAACCAAATTAGTTAATAATTACATTGGCACAGTTTTCCTGTGTTCTGCAATATTATTTGATTGCAAAAGAATGATTGTTCTAAAAAAACTGCTGAAAATTTAAATGAATGACATTAATATTAATGATAGTTCGCTCGCTAATACTAATAAGCCGTAGCATGTAGAAAATGACGTTTGTGTAACTGGCATTATGTAACTTAACCGCATTAGTATATAGAAGATAGTGCCCAGGGCTGGTTGCGTAACTCAAATGAGCACTTGGCTAAACTGACTAAACTATTTAGTATTAAGTCATTACTAAATTAGGTTTTAACGCCTTTACGTTGCCAGCCCAGGAAATTCTATTCCGACATTATTATTATGATTCGAAATGTGACATCATAAGTCGCAATGAAAAAGGTCTCCGCATTTATATAATTCGAAGAAAAGATGTCATCGATTACTAATACACTAGACTTTTTAGATGTTGTAAACTTAAAGACCAAATTTTGAATTGTTTATATATCCTCGGTATATTAATAATTTTATTAAAATGTGACAATTGAGACTATAAATGACAAAGTAAGTTTTGGTATTATTCCGAGAAAAAGGCTCTCTTCCAATCTATAATGGACAAATACTAACTAAATGGAACCCCGCCATAACAACTTTTCTTTATTATTATTAATTTCTCTCTATAACGAATGTCTCTATTTACCATTACTATATAGTAAGCAAGGGCACAAAAAATACTTATATGACAAGAAGTTTCGTGAACTATATTCTTTTATTGAAAAACTAATAAATATTATTTCAATATGAAACTTTTTATATTGTAGCATCAGAATAAACAAATTGTTTGTCCACTTGCATACATTTAATACTTCTCAGTGCAACAATTTCGAATACAGTGATAGTGGAATCTATCATAGAGTGAATTGGACTAAAAAATTTTGCAATTCATATATAAAGTTTTAAACAAATGATCCACTATATCCATCGCTGACTGTGGTAGATGATGACATATGATGACATGATACAGCCAAGCTTTCTTTCTGTGTTCTTTATATCCAAAGATTGTTTGGTAAAATAACATCATTATTTATTTATTATTATCTATTTATCTCCGATAGGTTTTCCCAAATATTACTATAATAACATAACAAATGTGAATATCCGAACCGTAGTAAAAGAATTAATTATATAGTACGCAGTAGTTAATTTAAATATTGTGTAACTGTCACATTAAATTTTTTATCATTTTTATCTGCGGTTTTGACATCTAGATATTTATTTAAACCCTTCCGATTTTCACAAACATTTAAAACAATTACTAGATAATTTTAAAACAACTATCAATTAATTAATTTATATAAATTGAAATAAACGATTATAAACATAAACATAAAAATAATTAAAAGAAAATGGCTGAATACATGATAATTTTTCAACCGTTTATTGATTTATTTAATCAAGGGCAAGTTCAAACAATTTTATTAGCGTGGCTTCCAACAAAATTGAGTCCATATTTATCTGGAATAATGGCAGTGGATATGTTTTTAATGACGATAACTGCATCAGGAATAACAACTTTCTTGGCTGCTTTATATTTATTTGGTTCTAAAGTTGCAGCAGGAGGAATTTGGAATAAAAACGCAGTCACTGTGCAAATTGAATATTATGCAACTGGAATGTATGGTAATCAGTATAAAAGTACATTGTATGAGGCAATATCATGGATAATTTCTCAACAAACTAAAAAACTATCGAAAGGTAGTTTTCTTGTACAACAAACGAATTCCGCCGATGATCAAGATGATGATGATGATTGTTCACCTCCTGATTTCAACGTATTACCAGAAACAGATGAACAAATATCCATTGAATATAAAGGAAAAAAATTCAATGTAAAATATAACATGCCAGATCAAAATTCCGAGGGTAAAGACGATGGTAACGGCAATGGTAATGGTAATAATTATCATGCAAACGGTCACAAAGTTATGCCATCAATTTTTTTGACAACTGTGGAGAATTCGGATACAAGTGTTAATGCAGTGTCAGATTTTCTTAATGTTGTTACTAGAGCATATCTTGAATCACAAAAGGAATCACGCGTTAGATTAAGATACGAAAGAATTGATGAATCTTGGTATAGAGTACAAGCACTGTCGTCAATTAGAGGTTTGGATACAGTTGCATTGGATGAGACTCAGGAACAATTAATTAGAAAAGAATTGGATACGTTTACTACTGACAAAGAATTCTATCATAAAATTGGCATGCCGTATAGACGTGGGATTTTACTTTATGGTAAACCTGGTACAGGGAAAACGAGTTTAATAAATGCTATTTCCTCGCAATTAAATCGAGATCTTTATTATCTTAATTTAAAGAATGTCTTTGATGATAATGAACTGAATGCAGCGTTTAGTTCTATTCCTGCCAATCAGATCGTTGTATTAGAAGATGTTGATACTCAATCAAAAGTTTTACACAAAAGAACACCCGGAACAGTCGATGAAACTGTTAAAAGAAAACCCGAAGAAAATAATAATAATTCTGGTGCAAAAGTTGGTAATGGATTTTCATCATTTAGTTTATCAACATTTTTGGGTTGTTTAGATGGTCATATAATGTCAGAAGGTAATTTTATAATAATGACTACGAATCATGTCGAAGCTCTTGATCCAGCCTGGTAAGTAATTCTTTTTTGAAATTAAAACTTTTAAATTTTAATAATATTAATTTATTGTTAATTCTTATAGTATTAGACCAGGCCGTATGGATGTACATTTAAATCTGGAATATTGTACACATTATCAAATAAAGAAAATGTACAAAAATGTAACAGAAAATCCAAATGCTGAATTTCCACAAGAAATTCTTGTTAAAATACCTGAAAAATTATTACCACCTTGTGAAGTAATGATGACCATGATTTTATATAGAAAAGAAATTGATATAATACCAGAGAAAATATTAGAGTTGATCCATAAATATCAAAATATGAAGCCAGAAGAAATAGCAAAACTAATGGAAGATGAATTAAGAAGAATCGAAGAAGCGTCTGCCAATAATGAGAAATTAAATACTGAAGTAAAAGTTGAAGAAGTGGAAGTGGAGGTATCTAGTGGTGAAGCTAGAAAAGATGATGACAAAGGTGGTGTCATAATAGAAAAAGAAATGAAAGAAAAGATAAAAAATATTGATTCGGTAGAAATGTCAAGAACTTTAAGTGATGGTAGCACTGTTGTAGAAGAAAATGATAACGTCAAAGATGTTTGATGTTAGATGGTAATAGAAACTTTTCATCAATAACTACAACAACAAAAACAATAACCATAAACAATTAAACCTTTTATATTTTATTTAAAATATAAATACAAATACAAATACATGTAATTTACATATGCATTAAAAAAAAAGATTATAGCTTAGATCCATCAACTAAAACACATGGACCGCCACTAATTAATTTGATGTTATTATTTACAGCAAAAGTTTGGCAGTCCAAATTTTCTGCACCAGGTTGTAACCAAATTTTTGTAATTCCTAGCTATTATTTATTTATTATCAACCAACATTTTATTATTTAATTAATTTGTATATTAAAAGATTTAGAAAAATTATTAAAAAAAATAATAAAAATAAATTGTTGTTGATAATTATAATAATTAAACTTACTTTAGCAGCTTCTTCTAAAATTGTTTTAGTAATTTTTGGAGGCGTGATAATTGAAACTGAAATTTTTGATGGTGGAATGTTTGATGAGAATGATGATAGGTTTGGTATAGTTTTTAAACCTTCTACAATTTTTTCATTCTTTCCTCCATAAATTAATTAAATCGTTAATAATTATCAAGAAAAAATATTTGTTATTATTATATCATATAAATAAATATTATAGATAATATTGTATAAATTTATTACTGGGTTGACAGCTGTAACTGGATAATTATTATTCATATACCTATATGATTCAATTTTATCAGAAAATTAAATAATATTTGCAAAATCTATCTATTAAATTTTAATTTTTTTGCAATTATACCTACCATTTCAAAACTTTATTTCCATATTTCGATGGATCAGAAGAAGCCCCCACAACAAAAAAATGCTCTGATGAAAAAAATTCATTGAATAACCCTGATAATTTTGATCTTGTAATCATATTTAGTAAAATAATTATGGTTCAGATAACAATAAATCATAATTTTTTTATTTGGAAAGACGCGCAGTTTCGTGTAACTTCTAATGATCAACATTACTTTTTATTTAAGATTTTAATATATATTATGATATATTGATAAAGTACATTATTTATGCTATAAAAAAAATGAAAACATTGATTTGACATCCAAATTTCAAATAAAATAAAAAAAAAAAAAAAACAAAGATATATAATATCACTATTAAATATAATTTCATTTCTCAAAATATTTAATATCACAACTACAGAACTATAGCAGCCAAATAAATGAAATAAAATGACAGGACAGGATTTAAAATTCATCTAGTAAATCAATCTGATGAGAATCTAAAAAAAATATTTATCACAGAATGTGTATTAATAAATATTGTTAATTTTAAAAATTAATAAAAATGAAAATCAATGATTGAATATTAATAATTACCATTATTATTACCAATAATTGTTACTTTATTGGAATTCACAGGTTGGGGA